GGAAGAAGAAGAGGGGGAAGAAGAAGAGGGGGAAGAAGAAGAGGGGGAGGGAGAGGAAGAAGAAGAGGGAGAAGAAGGCGAAGAGGAGGAAGAAGAGGCGACCGATTCTGACGACCGATCCTGTGGGGTTGGTTTGGTTTCTTTTCCGTTGCCTTCCCTAGACCTCTCTGGTGACCGACCCTGGCGACCGATTGCCTGAACGACCAGAAAAAATCGCTGTTTTGATAAATAGCTCTGTTTCCAATGCCTCTCTGTTTTCGGCGCTGTCGTAGCAAAGCGGGATCAAACCTTGCAAACTTGGCATCCACACGATGTCACTGATGTCTGCTTGGATATACACACATATAATGATTCCTCTTAGGAATTGGTTTACCTCAAACAAAAGCTTTCTGCGCAAAGAACACCAATGGCCCCTGGAAATTCAGCTGTAAAGAAGACATTCTGCAGCCTCTTGTCTTCACATCTTTAAGAGAAGCTCCGATGGCCACACTTACAGGCCAGGCAGGCTTGCAGACCTCTTCACCGAGTCCTTTGGCCAAAGGGCCCACAACAATGCCACCGCCAAGTTGGTTGAGGCCCGCAAGAAGAAAGTTTGGCAATTCCACCTGAAGCAAAGGGAGGGCGCCATCAAAGGTGGTCCCGGCCGCGCAGCAGTCTCCAGGCGGACGCTGGCACTGGCTTGCGCAAGCAGGCTGTCCGTGCTGCTAGGGCGGAATACTTTTTCGCTACTTGAGCTACATCACAAGCAAGCGTCCCACCGACAGGGGCTTCCAGGATGGGTCAAGGAGCCGGGAGCATTGATGGGCCCTGGCGCCTGCATGGGCGCCAATTTGCTAGCCGGAGAATGGAAAGGCAGGCATGCTGGCTCGCAGGCATGGGTTGATGTTATGTGTAACTATGACCAGTCTCCTCTACACATGAAGAGCTTCAGGCGGCTCATCCAGCAGGAGAGAGTAGCTTTACTCTGAATTAGTTCCAGCTTTGCTTTCTTTGCCTGTCATTTGTTTTTATCCATAAGAACTGACAGCTTGACTGAACATGTTTTGGGGCTGCAAAACGCAATCTTTTCATCTGGCGTTTGCTTAGGACCGGCTTGCAGGCATCCAGCCCACTGTCAAGCAGAATAAGAAGTTGATCGCCGCGCTGATCAAATCGGCTGACGAGATACTCAAGTTCTCGCACTCGCAGTTGGAGTTTTGCTTGTGTGAAGTGAGTAAAATCTTTGATTTCGTACAGCCACATGGGTGTGTCCACGGGAGGCACGCGCGTCGTGTTTGATGCATGTGGCTGGTGCCACGGGGCAGTCCAGCAGGCCAGCAGGCGCAATCTTGTTAGATCAATAGCGCAGCCGTCACTGTACCCATCTGTAGCCATACAAAAAGACATTCCCTGAGTCCAGCTTTTTTGTCTAAAATATCTTGAACTCAAGAAATGCATGTTTGATACCCACATAGTTCTTGGTAGGGGAGGAGCAGTCCAAATGTTCTTCTTTGACCGGGAGTGCATGCCCTCGGCAGGACACGTTTGTCAGGGGAATGAACTGGGCAGACCATCGTCCTGGTGCAGGCGCATCAGCCAGCCAAGTACTACTACTACTGCTGCTGCTGCTACTACTACTAC